CTTTAAGCAAGCAAACATTTTATAGCCGATAACCCTTTCTAATATATTTGTGAAAAAATAAATTGGGTAAAAGTTTACAAATTGGGTGCCCCTTGTTTCTTGGAGATTCTTTTTTGACGTCAAGATCGGCACTTGGAAGGCACAATATCAAGATGGCCCATACACAAAACCAAAATAAGAAGTCAAAGAATTGCACAAACTCTGTGTCCATGTACACATCAATCTGTTTTCACTTTAAAAAAAATTCTAGAATTGCACAAACTAGGCATTGCGCACTGCCTTAAATTTGTCCATGTACACATCAATCTATTTTCATTTAAATAAAATCAGGAAGCTAAAACAAATTTAAAATTATCATGGTGAACAGAAGCGAGGTTTCATTGTCAAAATTTTTAAAAAAATTATTGCTAATCAAAGGGGCACCCAATTTTACACTAGAGCCATAAATTGGCTCCAAATCCCTTTAATAGGGAAAAACAAAACAAAGTAAGTGAAAAATGTATGGGAAAAGTAGTTTTTAATTAATATCTCGGCTAATTCGTCATACGAAGACACTTTATAGCCTATAACCTTTTCTAATATATCAAAAATATTTCTTGAAATTTTCATGATGATCGGTTAAGTAATTAAGGTGTGAAAGCGTAACAAACAAACTAACATTTGCATTTATAATATAGCTTTATATAGCTTTAAAAACTTAATAACATACCTATCTGAAAGGAATCAAATACTTTTAAAGATTATAATGTGTTGTAAAACAATGCTATAATTTTTTTTACTAATTATTAATGTTTAAAAAAATCCCGATACTTAAGTACTATGCTATCAGTTGTGAAACTGTCACCAAGCAGCAGCATTTAGTGCCAGTTATAAATGAGCATGACATCACAACACATTTATTACATCTTTGCTTTCATCTGATGTAACCCAGATTGATTCTCGATAACCCAGTTTTTTTTTAAAATAAGAATATAAATTAATAATCACTGCTGTATTTTTTCATTGCATTTTGAAATAAAAAGAAGGGGTTTGATGGCTGTACAATCACATTTATGGCTGAGTTAATTTAAAACTGAAATAATTGACATCTATTGACTGGTAAAAATGATCAGCTGCATATGGCTGACAATACAATAGACTGAAATAATCATATGTGTGAAGCATGTATTCATAATGCTCTAAACAGAGTTTCTGGTACAATCGGAGGGCCTAATAAAATAGCCAGAAACGACAAAAGCCTTTTTCCGAAGTGCAAAAGCGTTGTGGGTTGAATACTTCTGCAGCACTGATTATTTGTCAGAAAGACTGATGAACATTTTATTGTAAGAGCTGCAGACAGAAGCATGGCTCACAATTCCACAGGAATGAGTTGTACTTTTTTTTTTTTTTTTTTTTTGAGGGAGAGGGGTTTGCTATCTTTCACAGTAATGGGATAATATCTAAGTACCAAAATTACTATACACAACTCATAAACTTCAATATAAAAACACTTTAAAATATACTACAATTACAAAAAATTAAAGAGTTAATTCTTGGGACATTGTTAAATGAGAAAAACTCAAGATATTTTATACATAAACTACATTTTAAATTATATGTAGTACAAAAACCCATGGATAGCATAAAAATAGGAAAAGACTTTATAAAATAATAAAAGGTTAAAGAAGAAAATGGCTAAAAGCATAGATTTTACAGAGAACAAAATGTGAACTATAGATGCTGCCTTCTATGAAGGATTAACAGATTAATTCTCACACCTGATTTTAAATATCAATCATTCTGATTTAAATAGATCAAGAAGACCAAAGGGGAGATCTAGTTGTATATTCTTATGCAGAATCTGATTTAATGATTTCCAAAACTGTAGTAAATATTCTTTCCCACCTAATATACCATAAGCATATTTTAACAGAACTTTTTGTTTTTGAAGAAGGACCTGTGTCCAATTGCTTTTGAATGCCAAATGAATCTTCCTATTTTGCCTTATTTTAAATATTGTAGTTATTTTTCATTTCTTTAGATATATTTATTCTGTTATTCTGTATGAATATTAATAGGAATACATTACATATAGCAATTACACTCTTACAGCAGCTGGGGTTTAACATATTATGCAGTTGCATAGAATATCAGTTCAATTCTGACAAATTTTCATACTTTATTTCAATCTAAGAACTGTACTTCCAACTATTTTTTCACTTTCCTACTAGTATAATATAAACTGGTGTGCAAAACTTAAGCAACAATGTAAATTTTAATCAGATAGCCATTAAATTGTAAAAAAGGGGTTCTTGCGTTCAGTACAATGAACACACAATTCAGAAAAAAGGTTATGTGTATGCAAATGTCAAGAAAAAAAGGTCACAGGTTATGTGAGCGTACGCATTTTGCGTACGGTCGACACGCTCAACTCGAGACTACCATAAAAGGAAGGATGGAGACGCAATTAAAAACATTTGCTGCAAGTACAAGGAGTTCTTTCGTGAAATATGGCCATAGGTACGGCTGTTAGAAAGGTTGGTGGTGGCCGCCCAAGGAAAACAACTGCAGTGGATGACCAATATATTGTCCTGCAGGCGAAAAGAGCCCAGAACCAGTCACCAAATTCAACAACTGTGTACAGCAACGGGGCGACAAGTGTCGCGGTTTACTGTGTGTAGACATCTTCTCAAAGAGGGCTTATTCGCCTGCTGTTCTGAATGCTGCATCCCTTTGAAAGTTCACCATCGGCGTCACCATTTACAGTGGAGCAAGAAGCTCAAAAACTGGGCATCTCATCAATGGAGTCGTATCCTCCTTATGGATGAGAGTCGTTTTAGTGCCACAAGTGATTCTGAACACAAATTGATTTGGAGAGAGGTCGGAATACAGTTTAATTTCAGTAACATAACGGAAGGAGACCGTTACGGTGTCCTGAAGATCTCGTCTGGAGAGGCATTATGCTGAACGGGTGGAGAGAGCTCCACGTTTTTGACAGAAGTTCTGTAACCGGAGATCGCTATTGTCAGGAGGTGATCCTTCCCCATGTCATCTGTTCTGAGGTCTCATTGGAGCAGACTTCATTTCTATGGATAACAATGCATGGCCACATCAGACTCCTGCTGTTCTGAAGCTACTGAAAAGTGAAGATATCACTCGAATGAATTGGCCAGTGTGCTGGCCTGATTTAAATCCTGTAGAACATGTGTTGGATGCTTTGGAAAGATGCCTTGTGGCACGATTACATACTCCGGGGAAAACCCAGCAACTGAAACAGATGCTGATTGAGGAATGGGCACTCTTACCTCAAGATCTGTTGGACAATCTGGTGCTGAGTATGGAGAGACCATTCAAAGCAACCATTGCAGTAAGGGAAGGGCATATGTCATAGTAAGGAACATCTGCTTGTTGTTCTTCCTCTTGTACAGACAATCATGTATAACGATACTATGAGTTCAATAAAGCCTATTTTTGTTTGATTTCATACTGTATGCATTGTATTCATTTTTAGCGCAATTATGCTTTCGTCATCGTTTAAATACAAAATGCTGTCTCTTAATTCTGAATTTCATGTCTCTCAGATGATTTCTCGTAGAGTTATGCAAAAAAAAAAAAAAAAAAAAAAAAAAAAAAAAAATCTGTTGCTTAAGTTTTGCACACCAGTGTTCCTCCTCAATTTTTTTTAATACCTGATAGAGCAAATTACATGATTCTAATACAACAGAACTTTGATAAATATAAAATAATTCTCATTTATTTTATTTATTAAGATACTTAAAATTTTTAAAGTATTGCTGTAAAGGTTAAATAAGTAATCCTCTGTGATCCAAAAGCAGATTAATCCATTTTACATTAATTCCTATGAAAAAAATTATTTCAGTTTATGAAATTTTTGGGTGACAAGCAGCCTTAACAAAGCTTCATTTTGGATTGGGAACAAAATTAATTCATGAACTAAGTTTTACAGTACTTCATGGCAAATTATATATAAATAAAAGTATGAGACTACACCTTTTATATACCAAATAAATTTGCATTTACACTTGAGATTAGTCTTATTACTTTCTGAAAATTTTTAAATATATGCTTGTTATAGAATTTGAACTAACACTTCATAAAGAAAAATTAATATTTATTCTATTTACATCTAGGCTGTAAATTATTCTGAAAGTAATTAGCAGTTTTTTTCCCCTCAGGATACCTTTTCCTAGAGAAAAACACAAATATACTTTGAATATTCTTACCTAACATTTTGTTAATTATTTGAAGTACTTACTACCTTATCAATCCAACTTTTTTTCACAGTGCTTGTCTATTTTCATTCATTACATCTTTCTTCACCGACTGATGGCAGCTAAGTGAAATATCCCATTCTACCATCTCAATTTTTCTTATCATCCTTTTGTTGTTCCAGACATTTTTTTATCCGACGTAGAGTAAAAGTGTGCTGTCGCTCTTTATCCATTTGAGACAAGTCAAGGATAATTCCAAGCGATTTAAAAACTACAATTACTTAAATTGAACCTATATTTATACTCATAAATTATCCTGGAAGTAGCTAGCAGTTATTTCCCTCTCAAGATAATTTTAAGCCATTTAAAAATTACACTTATTCAAATTACATACATCTTTATGCTTATGAAAATATTTTATTATACAGATATTTAAGGATATTAAATTCATGCAAAAACTATATTAATTTTGATTGCTGTAGTACTAATTGCATGCTAATGATTTTTTTACAAAAAAACAGTGATCTTATTTAATTTAATGCAATGGCATAAGGTAAAACATATTCTTTCTAATGATGATGAGAATACCTCCTACCCATACACCAAGTATTAATATATTATTTGATAACATCCTTCAATTTATTAATTAAAATGACATTATTTGTTAAAATATTTCACAGACTTTTAGAACAATTTAATAAAAGTAACTAAAAATAATTTGCTTCTCACAGAATTATTTTTGACTCATCCAAAGAACAAACATTGCTGATAGCAAAGAAATATATTTACCTTTTCTTCCCTTGCTCATGTCCCATTGGTGGTAAGTCATTATAACAAACAGGTGGTCTTGTAAATGCTGCAGTTAATCTTGCATCTGGAACTGGACAATGCACGGGTCCTTGCATGCCATTTCTGATACTAGAAAAGGTACTGTGCATGTTATTAGCTGGTAAATCTGGTGGTAAAAAATGATACTGATGACTCATTACAGCAGGCTGAGGAGGAGGAATGTAGCCTAGATTTTGAACAGTTGCTGGAACATAAGATGGATAGTTTGCAGACTCTGTTGTATAATATTTTGGGGCCATATTTGCATATGACATATGTGCAGGTGGTATAGGTGCTGGAATGTTTACTATTTCCGGTTTACTGGGATTGTTAGGATCAAATAATTGTTTATGAATAAAGGTTTGAGGCTCTGAGAACTTTGGCACATACAAACTGTTTTCAAGAGTTTCTGGGTGAATATCAGTTTTTTCATATTCTGATGGTAATTTTAATATACCACCTCCTCCATTTGGTCCAGAAGCCGTGCACTTCTCTGGAGATACATTTTGCTGGTTATCAGAACTGTGGGCTTTATTCTTTTGGAATCGTGGTGGAACAGACTGCTCAACTTTTTCCCTCTTCTTTTTATCAGATTTTGTTTTACTCTCCACTGTAACAGGTTTAATTTGGTTGCATTCTACTATACAACTATTATCTTTTACAGCAAGCACAGAGCCATTAGAACACCTTTTAGTGTTATCTTTCCCCCTTTCAGAAGTATGCAAGTCAAAATTTTGTCCTTTTGTATGATCATTATGTAAGCTACCTGACATGTTTCGATTTCTTTTACCTTTATCTTCAAAGTTTGAGAAAACTTCCTGAGTACTAGATTTGCTCTTGTGAGTATCAGCATCTATTTTACCTGGTTCATTAGTTTCATCATGGGTAGCATGAGAATCAGTCCTATGAGAATTTCTTCTACTCCTGTGCTTCTTACTTGCTTCGTCTTTATTATCCTTCTGTTTTGATTTACCACTTTTTTCAACTTTTTGATTGCTTGTTTTTATTCCAGATAAATGTACATCTATAGAATCATCATTATGCGCATTACATAACCTATCATCAGGTGTTGATCTAGAATTAGACATATCAGAGTCTTCAACAAGATCTGCCCAAGAACCTGTAGGCTGTGGAGAATTGGAATCTGAATGCTTAGTGGAAAAATGTTTGCTAGATGATCTAGATACTGATTCTTTTCCAATAGAATGGTCTTTGTCATTTTCATATTTATAATTTTTTACATTCTCAACCTGATTTGATTTTTTCTTTGCTAATGCTTTCAAAGACATTTCTCTTTCTTCTTTATTACTTTGAGATAAAAACATACCATTTTTTTGAGAAACCACATTTTTTTCTCCAAGTTGAGCAACAATTTTAGGTTTGGGAGTATACACCTGAATATCTGGCCGCCTATTCCTAACATTTTTTGAAACTTTGTTACAATTAGAATTTTCAATTTTGCTGCATTTTGACTCATCAGTATAACTCTCTTTTATAGTCAGACTCTCAAAACCATCAATGTTTGATGAAGAATCAGCAAAATTATTTCTTACTGAAACAAAAACTTGCTTATCACATTTGTCATTATAATCATCACTCTTGGCATTCTTATTTTGCAGTCCCATTCCTGGGCGATATATTTGCATGCCACGTTTCCGACTTTCCTTTACATTTATATTTTCAAAACCATCAACGCTTGAAGAAAGAGATACAGCACTTCTTATTTGAGCCAGAGCTTCCTCCTCTGGTTTGTTAATGCAAATATCAGATCTGGCATTCTTATTATTAAATCCCATACCAGGACGGTATATTTGCATCTCAGTCTTTCGACGCTCTTTTCTAGGATGTCTCATGGTTACTTCGTTCGGAGAGCTTGGGGATTCACAATTTCTTCCTAAAATGTAAAAATAAAAATATAAACATTCTATTTTTAAAAAATTTCATTGAGTTCACATACTTAATATACTATAAATTATACCACTAAAATTAAGTTTATTAAACTTAAGTCTAAAATATTAAACACACAAAAGTTAGGCTTCAAGATAAGAGCTTAGGGTTCTGAAAGTGTCTCAAATAAAACTGCATATAAATGAAGATAATCCCCATATCATTAAAGATAATGCCCTGCTTGCTGTTCTGGAGTAAGCAAATCCCAAATTTTAATTTTTTCCCCCCAAATTACAAAAAGATCCAGCAATAACAGATAATTTATAATCCTTGTTCACAAAACCTAACTGAGAATCAACGGGTTCTATCAACTGAAACCACAGATGTTATGAGTGCATTGTAGCATTATGCTTATCTATATCTGCCAAGATAACATGCTGCTTGGGAAAAATTTCATACTTGACAGGATAATACATAAGTACCCATATTTTTTAATGTAATTCAAAATTTAATTAAAAGTAAGCAAGCCCTAGTGCCTGAATATCAATAACCCAAGTTTAAAATTAAAACTTTACAGCAATTTTTAAACAATATGTTTGTTTAAAGGAAATTTTTTTAAAGGTTTGAAAAAGTTATTCAGCTTAAACTAATACTTTAAACTGTCTTCTGGTCTTGAATCCGAAATTTTGTTGGATGTTTGATATCACTACTCAGCGCTGGAAAGAATTTTTATATTTTAGCATGCAATGACATAATTTTGTCAACCACTGTTTCAATTGTTTTTTCCTTCCCCCCTTTTTTTTCAAATTTTGTCCTTTATGTTCAGCAAACATACGTAGGCTGGCTGAAAAAATATTCGACCTAACAAAGAAAAAATATTTTTTTCTCCAAAATTATTTTTATTTTTCTACATAGTCTCCTTGTAAGTCTACACATCTCTTCCAGCAATGCTCCCGTCCTTTTAACCTGCCTAAATAATATGTAGAATCTTTCTCTGTAAAGTCTCCTTCATTTGACAAAATCTTTATCCACCTAGTGCTTCTTTTAGCTGAAGGAACAAAAAAAAAAAAAAAAAAAGTCACTTGATGCTTGGTCTGGCAAATAAGGTAGGTCGTCAAGCAGTTCAAATAGTAATTTATGGATTTCCGCCACTGCCCCTCCCCCAAGGAGCATTGTCTTGGTAAAACACATTTTTTTTCTTTTGCAAATGCGGCCGTTTTTCCCCAATTTCTGCCTTCAGCAGCAGAACTAATGTTGAATAAACTTCAGAACTTCAGAATTAATGTTGTATAGTGTGCTTCGGTTTCAAAATAATCTATTAAGACAATCCCATCGCTGCCCCAGAAAACTGTTGCCTTCATTTTCCCAGCACAAGGGAACAGATTTTACCGTTTTTGGAGCCGATTCTGCCCTTGCTGTCCATTTTGTGTTTGTATTTTTGTTTCTGGGCTATAATGATGAATCCATGTTTCATCTACAGTGATTAATAGTCAAAAAAGTTCGATTTATTGCGCAAACAAAATGGTGCAAATCTTCATCCAAACACGTGTTCAGTCAAAAGTAAGCAAGTGTGGCACCCAATGTGCAGCTAGCTTGTGCATATCTAAATCTTGGTTCAATACGTTGCAAACACATTCTTTGGACATGCTAATAGCCTCTGCTATCTCTCTAACCTTGATTCGATGGTGTTCCAGTGCCATTTGGTGGATTTTAGCCATGTTTTCGTCAGTGGTTGCAGTTTTCGGCCCTCTTGAACACAGTAGTAAGTGATTTTCAAACTTGAAATTTCACAGTAGTAAATGATGGTGCAGAATCCCCGTACAATGTACCCAACTCCTCTTTAAGCTGCATTTCCTTTTAAAAACAGTTATCTAATGACAGCACTATGCTCAATTTTTTTCCATTCTTACAAAAATGGTTACATCAACTCAGAAAAGTAATCGTTAAACAAAAAATTTGCGCTCAAACTAGCTGAAATTTTGATTCGTAGTTACCAAGTGATGACGAAACAATTTCTCCCCCAATACATTCGAAAACCGCTCCATGAGAATTTGCATTTTGAATTATGTATGTATCCATTCGATTTTATACTTCCAAAAATAATCAACAGTGTCAATTGGCAATGTTTTTTAGCTGTTGTTAAACTTTAAAAAATTTTAAATATGTATACAAATTTTCAACAATTGTATACAGTATAGTGCATTGTATTTTAAGTTTCTAATTCTTGTATCAAATTCTTAATAAGGTATGAATAATCTGGTGACCAGACAAAAGCCCACTGGATGAAGGCGCACACGATGAAAGCCCACCAAAAAAGACTCCACTGTGATAATCGCCCACGCGAAAAATAACCACAATGACGAAAGCTCACATTGATAAAAGCTCACATTCACAAAAACCAACACCGATATATATGCTACCTTAAAATTAATATTTTTTTCTTTTTTTCTCAGCTGTATAAAGCAGATTCATGAATAAAGAGAAAATAAAAAACAAATTAAATTAATTGAACAATAAAATAAACAGATAAAGTAGTGTTAATTATACAAACAGACATATTTTCAAGATATTAAAATTCAGAATTACTATAATTAAATAGTAATTATAGTACTATAAAATTTACTATAAGTGTACATTTACTATAATTAAAATTATAAATACATTTTATAATAATAAAAAGCCACAAGTCCTTTTTATGTGGGCTTTTACCAGTGTGCGCTTTTATCAGCGTGGATTTTTATCAATGTGAGCTTTTATGAATGTGTGCTTTCATCGCTGTGGGTATTTGTCGCATGCGCAATTACCACAGTGGGCTTTTGTTGCGTGCGCTTTCGTTACGTGGGCTTTTGTCTGGGAACCAAATAATCCATATTCATTATGAATATTTGCTTATAAAATTAAAATACATATATTTTAGATAGCCTTCATGTCATTAAAAAAACAAGCAAAACATAAAAAAAGTTTTTAATAAAAACTGGATGAAGAAATACTTTTTTTATTGAGGAGAATAGTAAAGCTCTTTGCTTAATTTGTAGGAACTTTGTGCTAGTTTTTAAAGACTACAATTTGAAATGACATTATAGTCAAAAGCATGCCATAAAACATGATGTACAGTAAGACCCCGCTTAATGCGGGGGATACGTTCCATCGAAGTAGAGCGTAATGCGAAACAGCGCTAAGCGAGGCTATCTTAACATGTAAATAATGGGGTTAGGGGAAGACGGATAAAAAATGGTTAGGCATTAAATTTAATAATGTTTTTTTAATAAAAATAAAATCAAACATTTATTTCTTACAAAAATAAAAACAATATAAACGCATATACTTTTAAAAACAAATAAAATTCTCAGTCAGATCATTCAGTCTATTCTGGGTTTCCAATTTTCTGCCTTTTTGTTAAGAAGGCATTATGATAGATTGGCTTAATGGCATATTGCGTTCAATTTCGTCATCAATCCATATAGACAGTCGTTTTTCCATTTCCTCTATAATGTTATTTCTAGAACGGATAATTCTAGTTGCAGAGCTTGATGTAGTTGCAGTTGCCGATGACAGTATTTTTTCTTTATTCTTAAGAATTGTCCTTATTGTTGAAGTTGCCAAAATTAATGCAGCACTAATTTGAGATTGACGTTCACCAGAATCTAATCTTCTAATCACTTGCATTTGAGTTTCCAGTGAAATGCTTTTTCTGGTTGCTTTCTTTTCTTGTTTTTTATTATCACCCATGATAAAAACTAAAGATCATAATATTTGTCACTGTATTAATCGTTATAGTATTATACAAATTTAAACTTACGATAATGTCAACAAATGTTTCAAATGATAAAAATGCGTCCACCAAGCAAGAAACACAACTACACTGTTTCGGATATGTTATTTGGAAAGCTAGCGCTTCGCACAATTTCGGAGAATCCCCGGGTTGAAATAAAAGAGCGCTAAACCGAAACAGCGTTAAGCGGGGTCTTACTGTATATATATATCAGCATTTGCCATAAAGGTAAAATAACGGAACTAAAAAAAAAGGCTATTGTCGGAACATAATGCTGTTAAAAAGACAGATACTCAAAATAATAACATTGCAAAAGCAAGTTATGTCATAGCAAATTTAATAGCAAAGAAATCAAATCCTTTATTGATGGCGAATTTATAAAAGAATGTATGGAAAGCATAGCAAACATAATTTGCCTTGAAAAAAAGCATACTTTTGCTTCGAAACATACTTTCGCTTTGTAGACCCTTTACATATTAGTAAATACTATATATCGGAAATTCTATTTGACATAATCGAAAGTTCAAGCTTACTTTTATAATATTGCTCTAACAGTCTGCAAAAAATAATAAGCCGGATCCAATTCAAAGATTAAGGAACAATGCAATCTGCAACATTAACTGAATTAGATAATTTTAGCTTAGCTTATACCGTCCGTTATACATTAAACGCACATGCGTAAACGTATTATGCGCATGCGCACATGCATATTGGCAGCCGTAAAGGTCTTACGCGGATGCATCAACGCGACACATGTGCAGAAAGTTTGTAGCTTTGAGGTCCGGAGATCATTCCGGATTATGGGTGTCCGAATTAACGACTTTTGACTGTAACATCACAGAAAAAAATGGTTGCTTTAGTATTGTTAAAGGATACAACCAAGTCTGTAGATTTATTCAATGTACTAAAATGATGATGAAAAGGTTTTTCCTTATCTATGAAAAATTTATCAGCTATCATAACCGAGAGAGCCCCTGCCATGGTTGTTAAAATGGGGGACTAGTTAAAATGGTTAATAATGAAGCCATCGCTGTCAGCAATATGATCTTAAAGGCATATCCTTGTATTGTACATCAGGTTTGGTTTATTTAACTATGGCAAAGCAGACTAGGGCTATCTGCCTTAGGGGAGGGATGCCTTCGTGGAGGACTTTCTAAGGGACTAATATACACATTACACATGGGAAAAACCATGAAAATGCGCATGCAGCCAGCCCGTTCGCGTATTGTACATCA